TTTCTCGATTTTTCATTTCAGTTCTTCGGTATTTCAGTTTTTTAAGTTTTCGAATTTTTTAAATGTTTTGATTTCTTAATCAATCGATTTTTCGACTTCCCGGTTTTAGATTTTCTGTTTTTCATTGTCGTTTTTTCAAATTTTCGATTTTTTAAATTTTCGATTTTTTAATTTTCAAATTTGACATTTATAAACTGTCAATTTTTCGATTTTTCAATCAATCGATGTTTTGATTTTCCCATTTCTTGACTATCGAGGGTTTCGATATACCTATTCTTCAAATCTTGAATTTTTCGATTTTTCAGGTTTTTAATTTTTTTAAGATTTCAATTTTTCAACTTCACTCTTTGGATTTTTCTATTGCTCAATTTTTCGACTTTTTAGGTTCTCAGTTTTTGGATATTTCAGTTTTCGGATTTTTCAGGTTTTCTTTCATTTTTCAGTTTTTCGATATTTCAGTTTTGGGATTTTTCAATATTTTGATCCTTCTACTTTTCGATTTTTGGCTTCTGGAGTTTTCGATGTGTCGATTTTTTTACTTTTTCGATTTTTCAATTTTTCGATTGTTTAATCTTTCGATTTTTCGACTTCCCGGTTTTCAATTGTCGTTTTAAATTTTTAGATTCTTCAATGTTTTGATTTCCCGATTTAATTTGCCATTTTTAGTTTTTCTTTCATTTTTTGTTGTCGATTTTTTACTTTTTCGATTTTTCAATTTTTGACTTTTATAAATTCTTTATTTGTCGATTTTTCAATTAATTGATTTTTCAGGCTTTTTGGTTTTTCAATTTTTCTATTTTTTAGGTTTCGATTTTTCAACTTGACTTTTTTGATTTTTCGATTTCTCAATTATTCAATTTTTTGATTTCTTAGTTTTTAGACATTTCAGTTTTGGGATTTTTCGGTTTACTTATTATTTAATTTTTCGATCTTACGATTATGCAGGTATTTGATTTTTCAATTTTTCGATTCTTTAATTCTCAGTTTTTGGATATTTCAGTTTTGGGATTTTTCAGTTTGTCGATTCGTCAGTTTTTCATTGTTCAGTTTTGGGATTTTTCAATATTTCTGTTCTTCGACTTTTCCATTTTTGACTTCTGGATTTGTCGATGTGACGACTTTTTACTTTTTCAATATTTAAAATTGTGCATTTTTCGATTTCTCGATTTTTCATTTCAGCTCTTCCATATTTCAATTTTTCAAATGTTTCGATTTCTTAATCTTTCGAATTTTCGACTTCGCGGTTTTAGATTTTCTGTTTTTCAATTGTCGTTTTTTCAATTTTTCGATTTTTTAATTTTTCAAATTTGACATTTATAAACTGTCAATTTTTCGGTTTTTCAATGAATCGATGTTTTGATTTTCCCATTTCTTGACTATCGAGGGTTTCGATATTCCTGTTCTTCAAATCTTTAATTTTTCGATTTTTCAGGTTTTTAATTTTTTAAGATTTCAATTTTTCAACTTCACTCTTTGGATTTTTCTATTGCTCAATTTTTCGACTTTTTAGGTTCTCAGTTTTTGGATATTTCAGTTTTCGGATTTTTCAGGTTTTCTTTCATTTTTCAGTTTTTCGATATTTCAGTTTTGGGATTTTTCAATATTTTGATCCTTCGACTTTTCGATTTTTGGCTTCTGGAGTTTTAGATGTGTCGATTTTTTTACTTTTTCGATTTTTCAATTTTTCGATTGTTTAATCTTTCGATTTTTCGACTTCCCGGTTTTCAATTGTCGTTTTAAATTTTTAGATTCTTCAATGTTTTGATTTCCCGATTTAGTTTTCCATTTTTAGTTTTTCTTTCATTTTTTGTTGTCGATTTTTTACTTTTTCGATTTTTCAATTTTTGACTTTTATAAACTCTTTATTTGTCGATTTTTCAATTAATTGATTTTTCAGGCTTTTTGGTTGTTCAATTTTTCTATTTTTTAGGTTTCGACTTTTCAACTTGACTTTTTTGATTTTTCGATTTCTCAATTATTTAATTTTTTGATTTCTTAGTTTTTAGACATTTCAGTTTTGGGATTTTTCAGTTTGTCGATTCGTCAGTTTTTCATTGTTCAGTTTTGGGATTTTTCGATATTTCTGTTCTTCGACTTTTCCATTTTTGACTTCTGGATTTGTCGATGTGACGACTTTTTACTTTTTCGATTTTTAAATTTTAGATTTCTCAATTTTTTGGTATTTTAATTTTTCAATATTTAAAATTGTACATTTTTCGATTTCTCGATTTTTCATTTCAGCTCTTCCATATTTCAATTTTTCAAATGTTTCGATTTCTTAATCTTTCGATTTTTCGACTTCAAGGTTTTAGATTTTCTGTTTTTCGATTGTCGTTTTTTCAATTTTTCGATTTTTTAATTTTTCAAATTTGACATTTATAAACTGTCAATTTTTCGGTTTTTCAATGAATGGATGTTTTGATTTTCCCATTTCTTGACTATCGAGGGTTTCGATATTCCTGTTCTTCAAATCTTTAATTTTTCGATTTTTCAGTTTTATGATTTTTCAATTTTTCGATTCTTCCATTTTTCTTTAAAATTAGAATTTTTCCTCTTTTCGATTTCTCGATTTTTCAATTTTCGATTTCTGAATTTTCTACATTCCGATTTATCAATTTTTTTAATCTTCAATATTTCGATTCTTCAATTTTTGGAACTTTCGTTTCCCTTTCTCGTTATTTTAAATTTGTAATATTTTAATTTTCCATTTTTCAGTTTGGAAATTTTTCATCATTTCGATTCTGCGATTTTTCTTTTCGATTTTTCGATTGCTCGATTTTGTACTTTTTCGATATTTCAGTTTTAGGGTTTTTCGGTTTTTTGATTCTTCAGTTTCTCGGTTTTTCATTTTTGAATGTCTGAATTTTAAGTTTCTCGAATTTTCAAATATTCGATTTCACGATATTTTTATTTTTCGATTGTGTCGATTTTTTACTTTTTCGATTTTTAAATTTTAGATTTCTCAATTTTTTGATATTTTAATTTTTCAATAATTTAATTTTTCAATATTTAAAATTTTAGATTTTTCGATTTCTCGATTTTTCATTTCAGTTCTTCGGTATTTCAGTTTTTTAAGTTTTCGAATTTTTTAAATGTTTTGATTTCTTAATCAATCGATTTTTCGACTTCCGGGTTGTCGTTTTTTCAATTTTTCGATTTTTCAATGAATCGATGTTTTGATTTTCCCATTTCTTGACTATCGAGGGTTTCGATATTCCTGTTCTTCAAATCTTTAATTTTTCGATTTTTCACTCTTTGGATTTTTCTATTGCTCAATTATTCGACTTTTTAGGTTCTCAGTTTTTGGATATTTCAGTTTTCGGATTTTTCAGGTTTTCTTTCATTTTTCAGTTTTTCGATATTTCAGTTTTGGGATTTTTGAATATTTTGATGCTTCGACTTTTCGATTTTTGGCTTCTGGAGTTTTCGATGTGTCGATATTTTTTCTTTTTCGATTTTTCAATTTTTCGATTGTTTAATCTTTCGATTTTTCGACTTCCCGGTTTTCAATTGTCGTTTTAAATTTTTAGATTCTTCAATGTTTTGATTTCTCGATTTAATTTTCCATTTTTAGTTTTTCTTTCGTTTTTCGTTGTGTCGATTTTTTACTTTTTCGATTTTTCAATTAATTGATGATTTATTTTCCCATTTCTTGACCTTCGAGTGTTTCGATTTTCCTGTTCTTCAATTCTTTAATTTTTCGATTTTTTTAGGTTTCTATTTTTTGATTTTTCGATTTTTCAGTTTTTAGATGTTTGAGTTGGATTTTTCGTTGTGTCTAACTTATTATTTTTTCGATTTTTGGATTTTTGGATTTTTAAATTTTTCAATCTTTTGATATTTTAATTTTTCAATAATTCTTATTTTTTCGATTTTTCGACTTCCTGGTTTTAGATGTTCTGTTTTTCAATTTTTCGATTTGATTGTTAAGGTTTTCGATTTATCATTTTTTCAATTTTTTATGTTGGCCTATTTCGGTTTCTCAGTTTTTCCAGTTTTCCATTTTTTCGTTTTTCTGCTTTTCCAATTTTTCAACTTTTAACTTTTTGTTTGTCGATTTCTCGTTCTTTCGATCTTTCAATGTCCCAATTTTTCAATTTTTCGAATTTTTAAGTTTTTTGATTTCTCGATTATCGAGATTTGGATTTTTCGATATTTTGATTGTCAATTTCTCAATTTATAAATTGGTCAATTTTTAACTTTTCGATTTTTCGATTTTGACCTATTTTGGTTTCTCAATAGTTCGACTTTTCGACTCCACGATTTCTTGATTTTTCGATTTCTCAATTTTTCGATGTTTCGATTTTTCAGTGTTTCGGTTTTACGATTTTTTAAGGTTTCGAATTTTCAATAATTTTAATTGTTCAATTTTTTTTCTCACTGTTAATATCAGACAGTGTATCGAAAACAACCACAAAAATTGTCACTAAAAACATTAAAAAAAAATCCATAGGGTTATTACGATTTCAACAATATTCTTAGTTTAAAGACGTTTTGCTAGTATAAAACACAAATAAAGAATGAATGCTTTGTTAAACAAAATATGTACCAAAAATATTCACTTAGTCGTTATAAAAACCGACCAAACAACTATTTTCTGCCGAAATTATAGTCTAAACCAACCAAATCGCTTCTGAACGCTTAGAGTCGACTTTGGCCTGAGCGCGCTCTGGTCTGTAAATCAAACAAGTTCTCAGGCGACGAGTTGTAGTGAATCAAGTTTTTTTATTGGGATCGACTATTTAAATTTGGCGGTTGAGGACTCCAATGTCAATAAGGGTGGTTTTGTAAAATCTGCCCATATGTCGCATCTATATTAATCTATGGCATTATCTACTTCGGGCGAAATCCAGTAAAATAGATTCTGGAAACGCGACAAGTCTCCATTGTTGCGTCGGGTGCACGAACCGACATTTCCAAGGTCGGAGTCAGCAGACTTGAAAGTTTTTCGCGTTTTTTTCGCATTGTCTTCCACAATTAATTCGTTTCAATCCTTCCAGGGTTCGGATTCTTGGGTGTCCGTACATAACCTGCAATCTCAAGGAGGCGGTATCTTGGACCCGGATGATCGATTGAGCGATGTTGTCGACGACAGAGAGCAGATATTAGCGAGCTTCGAGGACGGAGATGGAGCGCACCATCATGGAGGAGGAGATGGGGCCAGTGGCAGTTCAGTAGGAACGGGCAGTCCCGACATATTCCATGTGAGTTATCGCAGGAAATTATCTACGGATTCCACACGCGTTGCGGCTGCAATTCTCATTCTAATTCTTCAATTTACTCGGAAAAAATTAAAGTGCACTTATTAGCATTTTTTCACTCTTGACCGTTCTCTTTTAATCGACACGGAAACGGAACTTGAGTCTATTTATGGAACAATGAATTCCACACTAAAGTTCAATGGAACTGCACTCGATACACAGAATGGATTTAAGAACACTTTGTACAACAAAACTTAATTTTATAATTGCACATGCCATCCTCTGACACGTATCTGCTCAAGGAGATTCATTACGTAATTGTGTAAAAACCGTGCGTTTTCGATCTGACTTGGGTGTGAGGCAAGGACCCGCAATCCTTTTGTATTTCGCAATAACCTCACCGATCAAAGGAATTCCGTAGGTGTCCCACTTAAGGGGAAACGCTAGACGAGAGACAAGCAATTCTTTTTATCTAAAAATTAAACAATTTAAAAATCGAAGAATTGGAAAACCAAAAAATCTAAACCGAAAAATCGAATAATCTAGAAATCAAAACATCAAGGAAAACAGAAAAATTAACGGAAAATCTAGAATTTAAAAATTGAAAAATTAAAATACCTATCGAAAAATTTTTGATTTTTCATTTTTTAGTTTTTTTAAGGTTTCGATTTTTCGACTTCACTTTTTGGATTTTTCGATTGCTCAATTTTTCGACTTTGTAGGTTCTCAGTTTTTGGATATTTCAGTTTCGGGATTTTTCAATATTCCGATTCTTCGATTTTTCGTTTTTGGGCCTCTGGAGTTTTCGATGTGTCGATTTTTTTACTTTTTCGATTGCTTAATCTTTCGATTTTTCGACTTCCCCACTTTTCAATACTTCTGTTCTTCGACTTTTCCATTTTTGACTTCTTGTTGATTTTTTACTTTTTCGATTTTTAAATTTTAGGTTTTTTGATTTGTCGATTTTTCATTTCAGCTCTTCCATATTTCCATTTTTCAAATGTTTCGATTTCTTAATCTTTCGATTTTTCGACTTCCCGGTTTTAGATTTTCTGTTTTTCAATTGTCGTTTTTTCAAATTTTCAATTTTTCAATTAATCGATGTTTTGATTTTCCCATTTCTTGACTTTCGAGGGTTTCGATATTCCTGTTCTTCAATTCTTTAATTTTTCGAATTTTCAGATTTGTGATTTTTCAATTTTTCGATTTTTTGAAGGTTTCGATTTTTCGACTTTACTTTTTTGATTTTTCGATTGCTCAATTTTTCGATTCTTTAGATTCTCAGTTTTTGGATATTTCAGTTTTGGGATTTTTCAATTTTTCGATTTTTCGACTTCCTGGTTTTAGATTTTCAGTTTTCAATTGTCGTTTTAAATTTTTCGATTTTTCAATGTTTTGATTTCCCGATTTAGTTTCCCATTTTTAGTTTTTCTTTCATTTTTCAGTTTCACGTTTTCAAATTACACCAAAATTGAAAAATCGAAAACTTAATAATTGAAAAATTGAAACATTTTCAATGAAAAAAATCGGTAAACCGAAAAATTGAAAAATGTATAAATCGAGAAATTGAACAATCTAAAAATTAAACAATTTAAAAATCGAAGAATTGGAAAACCAAAAAATCTAAACCGAGAACTTGAAAAATCGAATAATCGAGAAATCAAAACATCAAGGAAAACAGAAAAATTAACGGAAAATCTAGAACTTAAAAATTGAAAATTTAAAATACGTATCGAAAAATTTTTGATTTTTCATTTTTTAGTTTAAGGTTTCGATTTTTCGACTTCACTTTTTGGATTTTTCGATTGCTCAATTTTTCGACTTTGTAGGTTCTCAGTTTTTGGATATTTCAGTTTTGGGATTTTTGAATATTCCGATTCTTCGATTTTTCGATTTTTGGCTTCTGGAGTTTTCGGTGTGTCGATTTTTTTACTTTTTCGATTGCTTAATCTTTCGATTTTTCGACTTCCCCACTTTTCAATATTTCTGTTCTTCGACTTTTCCATTTTGACTTCTTGTTGATTTTTTACTTTTTCGATTTTTAAATTTTAGATTTTTTGATTTCTCGATTTTTCATTTCAGCTCTTCCATATTTCCATTTTTCAAATGTTTCGATTTCTTAATCTTTTGATTTTTCGACTTCCGGGTTTTAGAGTTTCTGTTTTCCAATTGTCGTTTTTCCAATTTTTCGATTTTTGAATTTTAAATTTTTCGATTTCCCGATTTTTCATTTCAGGTCTTCGATGTTTCAGTTTTTCAAGTTTTCGAATTTTTCAAATGTTTTGATTTCTTAATCTATCGATTTTTCGACTTCCCGGTTTTAGATTTTCTGTTTTTCAATTGTCGTTTTTTCAAATTTTCGATTTTTCAATTAATCGATGTTTTGATTTTCCCATTTCTTGACTTTCGAGGGTTTCGATATTCCTGTTCTTCAATTCTTTAATTTTTAGAATTTTCAGATTTGTGATTTTTCAATTTTTCGATTTTTTGAAGGTTTCGATTTTTCGACTTTACTTTTTTGATTTTTCGATTGCTCAATTTTTCGATTCTTTAGATTCTCAGTTTTTGGATATTTCAGTTTTGGGATTTTTCAATATTTCGATTTTTCGACTTCCTGGTTTTAGATTTTCAGTTTTCAATTGTCGCTTTAAATTTTTCGATTTTTCAATGTTTTGATTTCCCGATTTAGTTTCCCATTTTTAGTTTTTCTTTCATTTTTCAGTTTCACCTTTTCAAATTACAGCAAAATTGAAAAATCGAAAACTTAATAATTGAAAAATTGAAACATTTTAAATGAAAAAAATCGGTAAACCGAAAAATTGAAAAATCTATAAATCGAGAAATTCAACAATCTAAAAATTAAACAATTTAAAAATCGAATAATCGAGAAATCAAAACATCAAGGAAAACAGAAAAATTAACGGAAAATCTAGAACTTAAAAATTGAAAAATTAAAATACCTATCGAAAAATTGAAAAACCGAGAAATCGAAACATCAAAAAATAGAAAAATTGAAGAACCGAAACATTGCAAAATCTCAGAACTGAAATACTGAAAAACTGAAATCTTGAAAAACTGAAAAATGGAAAGAAAATTGAAGAATTGGAAAAGTGAAAAAATACAAAACTGAAACATTGAAAAACTGAAAAATGGAAAGAAAATTGAAGAATCGGAAAAGTGAAAAAATACAAAACTGAAATATTGAAAAATCAAGAAATAGAGAAATGGGAAAATCAAAAAATCAGTTAATCGAAAAATTTAGAAACGTCAAAAATTGAAAACTGAAAAATAAAAAAATGTAAAAATCGTAAAAGTGAAATATCGTAAAGTTAATAAATTAAAAAACTGAAAATTTTTGAAAAAAAAAAGTCGTATCAAAAACTAAAATTAAAAAAATCGAGAAATTGAACAATCAAAAAATCAAAACATTGAAATCCCAGTAAGTTGATAAATAAGAAAATTTTAAAAACAGAAATTTTAAAAATCCAAGAATTGAGCAACAAAAAAAATCTAAGCCTGAAAACACAGAAAATTGAATGATCGAGACCAAAAAATCTAAAATTTAAAATTTCGACAAATTGAAAAATCATGGAACTGAAAAATCGAAAAGTCGAGATAGTGAGAAATCTAAAAACCTAAAACTTTAAAAACTGAAAAAATAGAATATCGAAAAATTTAAAAACCGAGAAAACACACTGTCAAAAATTTGAAAAATTGAAGAAACGAAATATTGCAAAATTCCAAAGCTGAAATATTGAAAAACCTAAAAATGGAAGAAAAATTAAAGAATCGAAACAGTGAAAAAATCCCAAACTGAAACATTGAAAAATTGAGAAATGGAAAAATGGGAAAATCAAAAAAATCGGTCTAAAGAGCTTAGACAGTACTTCGAAACAGTAAAATAGTTAATCGACACATCGGAAAATCCAGGAGTCAAAAATCGAAAAGTCGAAGAATCGAATATTGACAAATCCCAAAACTAAGATATCGAAAAACTGAAAAATGAAAGAAAAACTGAAAAATGGAAAACCTGAAAACTCCAAAAACGGAAATATCCAAAAACTGAGAACCTAAAAAGTCGAAAAATTGAGCAATCGAAAAATCCAAAAAGTGAAGTCGAAAAATCGAAACCTTAAAAAACCAAAAAAGGAAAAATCGAAAAATTAAAGAATTGAAAAACCAAGAAACAGAGAAATGGGAAAATCAAAAAATCAGTTAATCGAAAAATTGAAAAATCGAAAAATTTAGAAACGTCAAAAATTGAAAACTGGAAAATAAAAAAATTTAAAAATCGTAAAACTGAAATATCGTAAAGTTAATAAATTGAAAAACTGAAAATTAAAAAAAAAAGTCGTATCAAAAACTAAAAATTAAAAAAATCGAGAAATTGAACAATCAAAAAATCAAACCATTGAAATCCCAGTAAGTTGATAAATAGGAAAATTTAAAAAACAAAAATTTTAAAAATCCAAGAATTGAACAACAAAAAAAATCTAAGCCTGAAAAGTCAGAAAATTGAATGATCGAGAACAAAAAATCTAAAATTTAAAAATTCGACAAATTGAAAAATCATGGAACTGAAAAATCGAAAAGTCGAGATAGTGAGAAATCTAAGAACCTAAAACTTTAAAAACTGAAAAATTAAAATATCGAAAAATTTAAAAACCGAGAAAACACAATATCAGAAATTTGAAAAATTGAAAAAACGAAATATTGCAAAATTCCAAAGCTAAAATATTGAAAAACCTAAAAATGGAAGAAAAATTAAAGAATCGAAACAGTGAAAAAATCCCAAACTGAAACATTGAAAAATTGAGAAATGGAGAAATGGGAAAATCAAAAAAATTGGTCTAAAGAGTTTAGACAGTACTTCCCTCGCTATCGGAAACGTGACGACTGCATGCCTATTATCTTTTTTTTTTTCACATTAGATTCCAAAGCATTCGGTTTTGTAGTTCCTGATTAAATCAATAAAATAAATTTGCGCATTCATTAAATTTTTTGAGTCTCCCTGTATATCCGAATCCAAAAAATATGAATGAGATGATAAATTACAAGAAGAGACTCATCATATTTTGTACATTTTAGATAGGATTTATTCAAGAAAATTTTGAGATGACGTCATGAATTTTTTAGAGGGGATAAGTAAATATATTGTAATTAAAACCAAAAAAATATTATACCTCGTCTAGCGAGTCCCCTTAAACCCTAAAAGAAATAATTAATCTTTGTTACGCAACGCTTTGTATAGGACGGCGAACACAAATACGGTCCCAACTACCCCCGAACTGACATCGAGGTGACGGGTGAGCAAATCGCGTCCGGAGTCCCTGGGGCGTTGCAAGTCCGGAGGGGCAGCGAACCCGCTCTTAACCAACTCCCGGTGGGTCCTCCGGCTCCGTCTGAACACACTAAGCGCTGGAGCGCCGCCCCACTAATCCTAGAACCGCCCCCGCCCATTGGGTACAACAGTAGCGACTGGAACGAAGATGCGAAAGAAGAGGACGAAAGCAATCCGGGATTTCGACGGGTGGGACGAGATGGGAGTAATCGATTATCGATGCAGTTTCTGGGTGACGGCGCGGGGTGAGTACCTTCCCTTCGTGGTTCTAAAAGTGGTACTAACTCAGTGGTACTAGGTATAGATGGGCGGAAGCCGCCGAGCGAGCGGCGCAATCAAGGGCCAGCACGTCCCTACCCAGAGAAAGCAAGCGAAAGGAGCCCTTAGGGCAAGCGAATAGTACTAGTCCTGTACCTACGTCTAGTGATAGTGCGGAGCTCATTATTATACGTAACGAACCTGGACCGCTCGGTATCCACGTCGTACCGGATTACGATAGGTTGGGGAAGGACAGGGGGTTGTTAGTCCAGGGGATAGAGCCCGGGAAGAGGATCGATCGCGATGGGAGGTTGGCCATCTATGATCGGATCGTGGAAATTAACGGAGAAAATTTACTTAATATGCCATTCCAAAGGTAAGTCGGGTGAATCCTCAACCAAGAACCGACTAACCTAGAATTCGTCTGTAGGGTGCAAGACATCTTCAAACTTCACCTTACTTCGCCAGAATTAAGACTGAAAGTAATAAAAAACAGCGGCTTGGACAGTCTTCGGAAACCTCCGGCTCCAATCTACCCGAGGTTTCCCGAAGACAAAGAGAACGTTTCTATGGTAGAGTGCGAACAGAAACGTGAGTTTGTCAACTTTGTAACGTCGCAGCGTAACGACGCTTTTTTACAGAAAGTACAAACACTAAAGTAGCGACGGTGTCCCCGACTAAGAAAGTCCCGGCCATTTCGAAGAATCTTAAGTCTCTTTTGACAGCGAATACCAGGAAGATCGGCCGAAAAATCGAAATCGATCTCGTGAAGGGTCCTCACGGGTTAGGGTTTAGTATAACGACTAGAGACAATCCCGCTGGAGGGAATTGCCCGATTTACATTAAGAATATAATTCCAAAAGGGGCAGCCATTGAAGACGGACGTCTCAAAATCGGTGATCGCTTGCTAGAAGTGAACGGTGTAGAAATGACCGGGAAAAGTCAAGCGGAAGCGGTGGCGGTACTCAGGAACGCACCACCCGGGAGTACGGTGCGGATCGTCGTGTCCAGACAAGAAGACGTCATCGAGAGTACCCTCCCCAGGATCATCGTAAGTGGTTTAAGTTTTACCATTGTTTAAGTATATTATAGTTGGACAACCTATACGGACAATCACTTTCCCATGTAGAAAAGAATGAATATATATTTTACATCTCACTCGCTTCACTATGAAGTGGCGGTACCTTACGAAAGGGGGTAAAAATAGTGCGTAAGCACGTGATGTCGATAAGGTAGTAAACGGACGTATTAATCAGTACGTTGTACGGGGAGCAGTCACAAAATAAGCAAACGTACGTGTTGAAGACTTTACTGTAATATATGTATATGTAGTGCATACCTGTTTCAAGGTTAAGGTAAAACAAATTTAATATTATCGCGATATACTTTAAAGGTATACGAAATTAAACGACCGCTACTTTAATTAATAAGTAACAAGTCATCTAATTTGCCTCCAGAATAACTATGGATTATCATCAAACTATGAATACCAAATTAATTCAATATGAACATCTTCTTACGTATTTTTTTTATTAACAGTAGTCAAATCATTAAATACATATTATTTTTGAAACTAAAATGCATTTTATCCTAAGATTGTATCACAAAATATTCATCACCATTTAAATATATACGATTTAGACATCAAGAAATAAATTTAAAATTGCAAAAATTATATCTAGCAGACTTAAAACAGCCTTAAATGTGTCTTGTATGTACATGCTTATCAATATGTAGGCATTTTAACGCACAGCAATAATCGTTCTTTATGAGTAATGACACAGTAAATCCTCGAAATCGAAAATTTAAAACACTGAAAAATTCAAATATGGGAAAATTGTAAAATCGAGAAATCGAAACATAAAAAAATCAAAAAAATAAAAATTGGAAAATCTAAAATTTAAAAATCGAGAAATTGAACAACCGGTTAATTCAAAAATCAAAACATCGAAAAATTGGAAAATCGAAAAATAAAAAAAAATTGGACAATCGAAAATTTAAAAATTCCGAAAATTGAAAAATTGAAATATAGAAGAACTGAAAACTCAAAAAATCGAAAAAAATTAATAATTTCAAAAATTGAAAAGTTAAAATTGAGAAATCGAAAAACTGAAAAATCACAAAATTGAACGAAATATCAAAAAATTAGGAAATTAAAAAATTGAGAAACAGAAAAGTCAAAAAAGCAGCGTCTAAAAATCGCAAACTTAAAAAATCGAAAAATTGAAAAATCAAAAACCTGGATAATCGAAAAATTGAAGAACTGAAGAACTGAAAAATCGAAACTTTAGGAAGTGGAGAAATGGGAATATAAAAAAATAGATTAATTGAGAAATCCGAAAACTAAAAATTCAGAAACGTCAAAATTTGAAAAATAAAAAAATATTGAAGAACTGAAAAATCGAAAAATCTAAAATTTAAAACATTGAAAAGTTAAAATATCCTAAAACTGAAAAATGGAGAAATCCAAACATCAAAAAATCAAAAAAAAAAAAATCTAAAATTTAATAATCGAAAAACTGAAAAATCAACGAATCGAGAAGTCGAGAATTTAAAAAATTGGACAATTGAAAAATCGGATAAATCAAAAATCGAAACATCGAAAAATCGAGAAACCGAAAAGCAAAAAATCGAAAAACCAACAAATTGAAAAATCGAAACATTGTAAAATTCAAAAATTGAGACATCGAGAAATCGAAAAATCAAAAGACAAAAAAATCGAGGAGTCGAAAAATCGAGAAGTCGAAAAATCAAAAAATTGAGAAACCGAAATAGGCCAAAATCGAAAAATCGAAAACTTAAATATGGAAAAATTGATAAAGCGAGAGATTGAATAATCAAAACATCGAAACATACGAATCTCAATGAATTGAGATCTCAAAAAATTTAAACATTCGGAAATTAAAAAAATTAAAATATAGAACTGGAAACTCGAGAAACTGAAAAATCTAGAAATTTAAAAATTAAAATATGAAAAAGTTGAAAAATTGAGAAATTGAAATAAAAAACAAAAAACTGAAAATCTAAAACTAAAAAATAGAAAAATCTAGAAGTCGAAAAATGAAAGAATCGAAGCATTGAAAAATATCAAAACTGAAAGAAATATCCAAAAATTGAGAAATCGACAAACCAATAAAGCGAAGTCGAAAAATCGAAGAATTGAAGAACTGAAAAATCGAAACTTTGAGAAGTGGGAAAATCAAAAATAGATTAATTGAGAAATCAGAAAACTAAAAATTCAGAAACGTCAAAATTTGAAAAATAAAAAAATATTGAAGAACTGAAAAATCGAAAAATCTAAAATTTAAAACATTGAAAAGTTAAAATATCCTAAAACTGAAAAATGGAGAAATCCAAACATCAAAAAATCAAAAAAAAAAAAATCTAAAATTTAATAATCGAAAAACTGAAAAATCAACGAATCGAGAAGTCGAGAATTTAAAAAATTGGACAATTGAAAAATCGGATAAATCAAAAATCGAAAAATCGAGAAACCGAAAAGCAAAAAATCGAAAAACCAACAAATGGAAAAATCGAAACATTGTAAAATTCAAAAATTGAGACATCGAGAAATCGAAAAATCAAAAGACAAAAAAATCGAGGAGTCGAAAAATCGAGAAGTCGAAAAATCAAAAAATTGAGAAACCGAGAGATTGAATAATCAAAACATCGAAACATACGAATCTCAATGAATTGAGATCTCAAAAAATTTAAACATTCGGAAATTAAAAAAATTAAAATATAGAACTGGAAACTCGAGAAACTGAAAAATCTAGAAATTTAAAAATTAAAATATGAAAAAGTTGAAAAATTGAGAAATTGAAATAAAAAACAAAAAACTGAAAATCCAAAACTAAAAAATAGAAAAATCTAGAAGTCGAAAAACGAAAGAATCGAAGTATTGAAAAATATCAAAACTGAAAGAAATATCCAAAAATTGAGAAATCGACAAACCAATAAAGCGAAGTCGAAAAATCGAAGAATTGAAGAACTGAAAAATCGAAACTTTGAGAAGTGGGAAAATCAAAAATAGATTAATTGAGAAATCAGAAAACTGAAAATTTAACGCAAAAATTTAAAAAATTGAAAAATTTAAATACTGAAGAACTGAAAAGTCAAAAAATCGAGAAATCGAAAAAACTAAAATTTAAAACAATGAATACGCAAAATAGAAGAATCGAGAAATCCAATTCAATTTGAAAAATTGAAAAATCGGGGCATTGAAAAATTGGAAAATCCAGAAATTGAAAAGCTCAAAAGAAAAAAATCGAAAAACCGAGAAATCCAAAAATCGAAACATCGAAAAATTCAAAAACTGAGACTTCGAGAAATCGAAAAATCGGAGGATCGAGAAATTGAGGAGTCGGAAGCCGAAAAGGAAAGTTAAAAAAGAAAAATTGAGAAATTGAACAATCAAAACAACGAAACATCTGAATTCGATAAATTGAGAAATTAAAAAATTGAATAATCGAAAAATTTAAAAAAAGAAAAACTGGAAAATCGAAAATTAAAATTCAAAAAATCGAAAAATTGAAATATAGAACTGAAAACTCGAGATATCGAAAAACCTAGAATTTTAAAGAAGGAAATATTAAAACATCGAAAAGTTTAAAAATTGAGAAATCGAAGCACTAAACAGTCCAAGAATTGAAAAATCTAAAGTTTACAATAAAAAAAGGAAAAAAGCCAGACATCAAAAAAAATCCATCAATTCAAAAATCGAAAAGTCGAAAAATTGAAATATTGAAAAATCTCATAACTGAAAGAAATATTCAAAAAAATTGAGAAATTAAAAAATTGGAAAATTGAGAAATCGAAAATCTAAAAAAGCAAAATTGAAAAATCGTAATCTTAAAAAATCGAAAAATTGAAGAATTGAAAATGTGCAAAGTCGAAACTTTAGGAAATCCAGAAATGGACAAATAAAAAAAATACTTTATAAATCGGCGAACTGAAAATTTAGAAACGTGAAAATTTGAAAAATTGAAAAATCCAAGTATTTAAAAACCGTAAAATTGAAGAGGACAAAAATTGAGAAATCGTATCATTGAAACATCGAAAGATTGAGAAATCGAAAAATAAAAAAAATCTAGAAATAGAAAATTTAAAGAATGGAGGAATCGGAAAAACCCAAAATTGAAATATTGAAAAATTGAGACATTTAAAGTTGAAAAATCGAGAAATCGACAAGCCGAAAAATCCCAATAGCGTATTTAGGTATAAATCACAAGATCAGGACTATTCTACTTTTTAAAATTTAAATAACATTATAAATTGGAAAATGTTGATTTTTTTCCAAAAATCTTGACATCTAAGGTGAAAACTCGACACGGATGCATAAACCGTAAACGGGGCGAAACTACAATTTTACTATTGTAAAATTTGGAGATTGCGTCATGTCATTGTTCGTGACAAATTTTGGAGAGTGTAATTTGATAATACAATTTGAAATGTAAATTTTGTCATTCGGGAACATTATGTATTAAATCGTCAAGATGTTCAAGAACTTTGTTCACTTATTCGTTGTAAAGTCCAATGGTCGAAATGGGTTAGTTCTTCGTAGTGGATGTGTATCACATCAACTCTAACGAATATCGGTTTATAGATAAATCGCTTAAAGCCGATATTGGCCTGAGTGTGCTTTGGTCTGTAGATCAAACAAGTTCTCAGGCGACGAAAAATTGCATGTGAAGCGAGACTTCGGATTACAAATCGTGCCAAGGAAGACATATTTGGGAGAGATGGATTTTCAGGTGCTTGACTAGCGGTAATTTTAAATTGTTTGCTGTCGTTCGCGAAGTGAAGAACACAATTTCATTAAAGTGATAATTATAAAATTATCATAATCACTATTGGTGTTAATTAACACAAAATGGCGCGGCAAGTTATCAGTTGATTTCGTTAATAAATTCATAGAAACCTATATGGGATTTTTTCATGCCTTAGAAAATTAAAAAGTAAAAAATACAATAACAAAAATTTTAAAATTCGGTTTACGAAAAATTAGTTGACCTGTGCAAAGAAGAAAATTTTGCAAACGCTGACAAATATGACATCTTAAAAAAAATAACACTTGAAGAAGTGCTTTCGGCGTAATATTTTTGATGCTCCCGTGAACAAAATACTCTATGTCAGTGTGCAGTGCGCAAAAAGTTAACTGTGCAGATCTAGTCGAAAATCCGAAAACCAAATCGCTGTGTGTAGGGTCAGCATAACGTTAGTAATAAATCATCCCATCGGTTGAAGAACGTTGGGTCGGTGCACTGATGTCGATGTTATATTCCGAGAGGGGCCCAATACACCCAATAAAATCGAACAGACAAAATAAAGCTTCAAACATGATTATTTTTATACTAAAATTCTGACGTTTATAAACTGCACATTTTATTTATTTATTTATTTGATCTTGTTTTCGAACTATAATAAACATTTCAAACAATGTCTGTAACTTATTTTAATGTAAATTATATTCATGTGGTTAACAAAATCAGATGTAATATTAGTGTGATTTTGACCTTATTCTAGATTTTATTACAGCAGAACGGCGTATCCTTTTTAAATTTTAGAAGTTACGGAAACTAGTTCAAGAAACAATTAGTTATCTCGTATTTTTGGAACAAAATCTACCAAAATGTCAGATAACAGCAATTGTTTTTCATAGAAACAAACAGTCTTCAAAGCAGCCTTTAACTACTCGATATTACAAACATGCCTCTTAAGTTCTTAATGCGTTTTTTCTTTGAACATATATTTTCATTTTGTGTTAATATTTTTGTAACACCACGAATCTAAATTTTACTTAAAATCTTGTTTTACTTTAATCTTGTAAAACTAAACAATTATACCAGTTTAAAAACCCTTGGAAAGTTTCTGTCAGTCCTCAGATATAGTCAAATAAAAATAGGCGTCAAATTCATTTAAATTCAATTCTTTCGTATCACGTTACAACGCGTTACTTCATATTTTTTATGTCAAGTATATTTTCGTATTTTGTACATATATGTTTATACACATTACTGTCTACGGAACAATGTTAATTATGGATTTATGGATAACTCCTCGTATAAGAGCAGAGTGAAGGGTGTTTGCCTTTGCTAATGTTTGATGGCGCCATCTGATTTAGAGTACAATAAACCAAAAATTTGTCCCACGCCCCCTGGATTCCTTGTCCTAAAGCTCACTATTTAGGCGAAGTAAAATTTGTATTAGGTTGTCCAACTATAATATACTTAAACAATGGTTTTACTTAGTCTGTTCGAACAGCTTCCGCACCAGGTAGTTTTAATATCTCTAATATCACTGTATGAAATTAGTACTGTTGTTGTCACGCAGGACTCCGAGCAAGAAAAAGAAGTGGATCAAGTCGCTGAGGTTGTTAATGGTAACGATGTACCTCCTAACATACCTCCGCTCCCTCAAAGTCATCTTCAAGCTCTGCAAAACAGAGCAGCTGAAAAGAATGGTTCGGTAGCTAAAATCATATCACAGTTCCAAGAAGCGGCAAACATCAGCAATGTAATTTAGTTTTATTTTTGTCACTTTACTAACGCTTCGTTCAGTTGCCACTAAAACGCTGTGCTTTTGTGAAGGAACCAAGTCCCCGAGATCAAAGTTTGTAGTTTCTTTAGAACACATAGTTCTAACTCATCTTGGTTTTTAGCCCCCCGAAAAGTCCGACGACAACATGATCTTCCCTTGGAAGCACCGCGAGATCCTCACTCTTAACATCCCCGTACACGACTCCGAGAAAGCCGGGCTGGGGATAAGCGTCAAAGGCAAAACTAGTGGGTCGCAAGACTTGGGGATCTTCATCAAGAGCGTGATCAACGGAGGCGCGGCGTCGCGCGATAAGCGCTTGCGCACCAACGACCAATTGTTGAACGTCAACGGGATATCGCTGCTGCAGCAATCCAACAGCGACGCTATGGAGACCCTGCGCAAAGCTATGTTGCACACAGAAGGTCCAGTGCCTGGGAACATCACGCTGACGATAGCTAGAAGAGCGTCGTCTCCTGGTGCCAACCGAAGCTTTAGTAGTAGAGGCTCGGACCCCAATTTGCTCAACGTCTCCAGCGAACTGTACCACTCGAACGACACGGAACCCTCGCATAGCAACCATTCCGGAGCCAGTGGCAGTAGTACCAATACTGTGATCTTCAACCCTAACCAGAACGGGGTCGACGTCAAGCAAGCACAAAACATGTCGCAGATGCACACGTGGAACCCGGTGCTGGATCGCCTCACCGGGAATAACAAGCAACTGAGGAACGAAAGCTACTACAAAGCGACGCACGACACCTGGAGCGCTAGTATGTTAGCGGCGAATAACTCCTACGGGAACTTGACGAGCACGACGCTGAACCTAGCGCCAGCTGAACCCATTTTGATCGAGGACGAGTACGGGTCCAGAGTGCTAACGCATCAGAACACGCGGTGGGTGCATACCATATGCTTAACGCACATTTAATTAACGTCGTACCCTTCCAGAATTAACGTCCACATGACTAACAAAATGAACGGGAGCATCCCCGAGAACCGCAACGAGCACGAACCCGACGGCAAGGCCACGATTCCTGTAGACGCTAAAAGCGTCGACCCGAATTCGCAGGTTCAGGGTACCGACGCCACGTACGCCAGTCAGCTGTCTCTGGAGAACCCCCAAGGGTTCTCGAGAGACGCTTTCGGTCGACAGAGCATGTCCGAGAAGCGCCACGCCACCTTAGACGCCAAAAACACGGACACGTATCAAAGGACGAAGAAACTTCGCGAAGAACGAAAAAGTAAGGAATGTAACAGTAAGTTTTTTGTTGTGTGCTAACTTCCACTTCTTTGCTTGTTTGTGCTAATTTTTGTTTTTCATCCATCGTACAGCTAACTTAGTCAGAGTTGGGTCAGTGGAGTCGGTTATAAGTGTTAATCGCTCACAAGAACATCCCGAATGTAAGCATCGTCATTTTCATTTTTTTTTATTATTATTATTTTATTTTATTTAATTTTACTTATTTTTTTAATATTGTGTTGTGTGGTGTGGTTGGTCATTACAATGGGGTTTTGTGTAGATGCGGATAAGTTGGGGCAGCTGGGGCCGTCGTTGGGGATGAAGAAGTCTTCCAGTTTGGAGTCGCTGCAGACGATGGTCCAAGAAGTAAGTCACCACGTTATAAATTTAACAACGAATAAACGAGTTTTTGTAGATACAAATGCAGGAAGAGGGAGACCCTGCGTACAGTTACAGGGGGCTATCTGGAGGCCCGAAAGTGATAAGAGGACGAGGCTGTGAGGAAAGTTTTAGAGCCGCCGTGGATAAACACATCGTGGATCCCAACCACCAGTCTGAAATAAGTAAATATTATAACAAAAAGTGGTTCGAAATACAAAAAAAAAAAATGCTATTCAAGTTGTAATTTTAAATAGGGGAATTTGTTGATCTAAATTTGGGTTGGTAGCAATTTGACATTTGACACTGTTGACTGTTATTATGTTGTTACTGTTTATTAGTAGTTTTTAATTAAAAAAATTGGTCGAAGGTTATTTCGACAGAACTTTCCTCATCCCTGAAGTGCAGTCCAAAAATCGAAAAACTAAAAATCAAAAAAATTAAAAGTCGAAAAATTTTATAATTCGAAAAATTGAAATATTATAAAGTTGAAAATCCGAAACTCGAAACATAAAAAAATTCGTAAAATCGAAAAATAGAAAAATCGTTAATACATATAAAATCAAAAAACTAGAAATCGAAAAATCTACAATTCAAAAATCGAAAAATGAATCGAAAAACTACCAAAACGGGAAACTGAAAAATCCCAAAACTGAAATCCCGAAAAATTGAAAAACCGTAGAATCGAAAAGTTGAAAAATCGAAAAACCGAGAAATCGAAATTGAAAAATTGAAACATCTTGAAATCAAAACAAGAGAAGATTGAGAAATCGAGAAGCCCAGAAATCGAACAATCGAAAATCGAAAAATTAAAAAATTGATACATACATCGAAATCTCGGTCAATTGGAAAATCGGAAAACTGAAAATTGAAAAATTTAAAAACCGAAAAATTTTAAAGCCAGAAGTCGAAAAATCAAAAGATCAAGAAATAGAAATGTGCAAAAATTAAAGACAAAAAATTGAAAAATTGTGAAATCGAACAATCGAAAAATCCCAAAATTGGAAAATCCTAAAACTGAATCATCGAAAACTTAAGAAATCGAAAAATTGAAAAATCGAAAAACTGATGTATCGGAAAATCGAGAATTTGAAGAATCCACAAATTGCACAAAAACCCTCAAATTGAAATGTTGAAAAACCCAAAAATCGAAATCCGAAAAGTCGAAAGATCGAAATCGAAAAATTGAAAAAAAATTAGGTTTTGGAAAATTCCCAAAATTGAAATGTAGAAAAATTGAGAAATCGAGAACTTGAAAAATCGAGAAATCAAAAGAATGAAAAGTTGGAAAATATTAAAAATCAAAAAATTGAAATATGTACCTACATACATACATACTAAAAACTAGGAGTATAAAATCGGGAATTCAAAACATAAAAAAATCGTGAAATCGAAAAATCGTTAATATAAAATTTAAAAAATTGAAAAACTAAAAATCAAAAAACTAAACGAGAAACCGAAAAATTTGGTATTTGAAAAATCCCAAAACGAATCAAAACTGTAAAATGAAAAAGTCGAATAACAAGAAATCCAGAAGTCGAACAATCAAAATCGAAAAATTTGAAATTGAAATCTCGATAAATTTGAAAATCGGAAAACTGAAAATTGAAAAATTAAAAACGAAAAATTGAAAACTTGAAAAATCGAAAAATTTGATAATCAAAAAAACTGAAAAATCGAAAGATCAAGAAATAGAAAGATCTAAAATTTAAAAAAACGAAAAATTAATCCTAAAACTGAAGCACCAAAAATTGAAATATTGAAAAAGCTAAATATTTGAAGAACCTTTTCGATTCTTTGGATTCAGAAAAACTGAAATATCGGAAAAACGAAAAATATATTAAAAAATCGAGAAATCGAAAATTCCCAAAATCGAGAATTTGAAGAATCGACAAATTGAAGTCCTGAAACTAAAATGTCGAAAAATTGTAAAACCGAAAAATCTAAAAGCAAGGAGTCGAAAAATCGAAAGACAGAAATATGGAAATATCAAAAAAGTGAGAAATCTAAGATTTTAAAAATTCGAAAAATCGAAAATTGAAAACTGAATAACCGAAAAATCGAGAAATCGAAATAGCTGCAATTAAAAAAAAAATGAAAATGTCGAAAAATTGAAGCATCGAAAAATTGAATCGAGAAATCAAAACATCCAAAAGTCGAAATATTGAAAAATCCTAAAACTGAAACATTGAAAACTTGAGAAAATGAAAAATTGAAAAATCCAGAAATCAAAAAGTCGAAAATTTCGAAACCCCAAAAATTGAAATATTGAAAAATCGAAATCTTTGTAAAACCGTTTCGATTCTTCAAATTTTTCATTCAAGAGATAGAAAATTCGAGAAATCGAGAGTTTGAAGAATCCACAAATTGAAAAATCCTCAAACCAAAATTTCGAAAAATTGAAAAACCGAATAATCGAATCCCGAAAAGTCGAAAGAACGATTGAAATTGAAAAATTGAAAAAAAATTAGGTTTTGAAAAATTCCCAAAATTGAAATATTGAAAAATTGAGAAATCGAGAACTTGAAAAATGAAAAGTCGGAAAATTTTAAAATTCAAAAAATTGAAATATATATAAAATCGGGAATTCGAAACAAAAAAATCGTAAAATCGAAACATGGAAAAAATGGTTAATATAAAATTTAAAAAATTGAAAAACTAGAAAACGAGAAACCGAAAAATTGAAGAATCGAAAAACCAAAAAATTTGATAATTGAAAAATCCCAAAACTGAATCAAAACTGTAGAATGAAAAAGTTGAATAACGAGAAATCCAGAAATCGAAATTGAAAAGTTGAAACATCTAGGAATCGAAACATCAAAACATTGAGAAATCGAGAAGTCCAGAATTCGAACAAGCAAAATCGAAAAATTTGAAATTGAAATCTGGATAAATTCGAAAATCGGAAAACTAAAACATCGAAAAATTGAGAAATCGAAAAAGCCAGAAATCAAAAAATCGAAAATTTCAAAACACCAAAAATTGAAATTTTGAAAATCTAAATATTCCAAGAACCTTTTCGATTCTTTGAATTTTTCATTGAAGAATAGAAAAACTGAAATATCGGACAACTGAGAATTTGAAGAATCGACAGATTGAAAAGTCCTGAAATTAAAATGTCGAAAAATTGTAAAACCGAAAAATCTAATAGCAAGGAGTCGAAAAATCGAAAGATAAAAATATGGAAACATCAAAAAAGTGAGAAATCTAAGATTTTAAAAATTCGAAAAATTGAAAATTGAAAAGTGAATAACCAAAAGACCGAAAAATCGAGAAATCGAAATGTCTGAAATTAAAAAAAAAAAAAAATGAAAATGTCGAAAAATTGAATCGAGAAATCAAAACATCCAAAAGTCGAAAAATTGAAAAATCGAGAAATCAAAAAATCGAAAATTTTGAAACGCCAAAAATTGAAATATTGAAAAATCTAAATATTTGTAAAACCTTTTCGATTCTTCAAATTTTTCATTCAAGAAATCGAAAATTCGAAAAATCGAGAGTTTGAAGAATCCACAAATTGAAAAATCCTCAAACCAAGTTTCGAAAAATTGAAAACCGAAAAATCGAATCCCGAAAAGTCGAAAGATCGATCGAAATTAAAAATTGAAAAAAAGTTAGGTTTTGAAAAATTCCCAAAAATGGAATGTCGGAAAATTTTAAAATTCAAAAAATTTAAATATGTACCTACATACATACAAAAAGTAGGAGTATAAAATCGAGAATTCGAAACAAAAAAATCGTTAATTTAAAAAATTGAAAAACTAAACATCAAAAAAACTAGAAAACGAGAAACCGAAAAATTTGGTAATTGAAAAATCCCAAAACTGAATCAAAACTCTAGAATGAAAAAGTCGAATAACAAGAAATCAAAAAATCGAAAATTTCGAAACACCAAAAAGTGAAATATTGAAAAATCTAAATATTTGAAGAACCTTTTCGATTCTTTGAATTTTTCATTGAAGAATCGAAAAACTGAAATCGTAAAACTGAAATATCGGAAAATCGAAATATCGAAAAATAAAAATCGAGAAATCGAAAATTCCAAAATCGAGAATTTGAAGAATCGACAAATATGGAAACTTCAAAAAAGTGAGAAGTCGAAGATTTTAAAAATTCGAAAAATTGAAAATTTAAAACTGAATAACCAAAAGACCGAAAAATCAAGAAATCGAAATATCTAACATTAAAAAAAAAATGAAAATGTCGAAAAATTGAATCGAGAAATACAAACATCCAAAGTCGAAATATTGAAAAATCTTAAAACTGAAACATTGAAAACTTGAAAAATTGAAAAAACCAGAAGTCAAAAAATCGCAATATTTGTAGGACCTTTTCGATTCTTCAAATTTTTCATTTAAAAAATCGAAAAATCGAGAGTTTGAAGAATCTACAAATTGAAAAATCCTTAAACCAAAATTTCGAAAAATTGAAAAACCGAAAAATCGAAACCCGAAAAGTCGAAAGATCGATCAAAATCGAAAAATCGATCAAAATCGAAAAATCGAAAAAAAATTAGGTTTTGAAAAATTTCCAAAATTGAGATGTTGAAAAACTGAGAAAGCGAGAACTTGAAAAATGGAGAAATCAAAAAATTGAAAAGTCGGAAAATTTTAAAACTCAAAAAATTGAAATATGTGTAACATAAAAAAATCGTAAAGTCGAAAAATGGAAAAATCGTTAATATAAAACTCAAAAATTGAAAAACTAATCAAAAAACTAGAAAATGAGAAACCGAAAAATTGAAGAATCGAAAAACCAAAAAATTTGGTAATTGAGAAATCCCAAAACTGAATCAAAACTGTAGAATGAAAAAGTCGAATAACAAGAAATCAAGAAATCGAAATTAAAAAGTTGAAACATCTAGAAATCGAAAAATTTGAAATTGAAATCTCGATAAATTGGAAAATCGGAAAACTAAAATTTGAAAACTGAAAAATCGAAAAATTTGGTAATCAAAAAAATTGAAAAATCGTAAGATCAAGAAATAGACATATGTAAAATTTAAAGAAACGAAAAATGTCGAAAAATTGAAAAAACGAAAAATCCCAAAATTGAACAATCCTAAAACAGAAACATCGAAAACTTCAGAAATTGAAAAACTGAAAAATCCAAAAATCAAAAAATCGAAAATTTCGAAACGCCAAAAATTGAAATATTGAAAAATCGAAAATTTGTAAAACCTTTTCGATTCTTCAAATTTTTCATTCAAGAAATCGAAAATTCAAAAAATCGAGAGTTTGAAGAATCCACAAATTGAAAAATCTTCAAACCAAAATTTAGAAAAGTTGAAAAACCGAAAAATCGAAACCTAAAAAGTCGAAAAATTGAAAAAAAATTAGGTTTTGAAAAATTCCCAAAATTGAAATGTTGAGAAATTGAAAAATCGAGAACTTGAAATGGAGAAATCAAAAAAATGAAGTCGGAAAATTTTAAAAATCAAACAATTGAAATATGTACATACTAAAAAGTGGGAGTAAAAAATCGGGAATTCGAAACATAAAAGAATCATAAAATCGAAAAATGGAAAAATCGTTAATATAAAATTTAAAAAATTGAAAATCTAAAAATCAAAAAACTAGAAAACGAGAAACCGAAAAATTTGGTAATTGAAAAATCCCAAAACTGAATCAAAACTGTAGAATGAAAAAGTCGAATAACAAGAAATCCAGAAATCGAAATTGAAAAGTTGAATTTATCTAGAAATCGAAACATTAAAACATTGAGAAATCGAGAAGTCCAGAAGTCGAACAATCAAAATCGAAAAATTTAAAATGGAAATCTCGACAAATTGGAAAATCGGAAAACTAAAAATTGAAAAATTAAAAATCGAAAGATGAAGAAATAGAAATATCTAAAATTTAAAGAAACGAAAAATCCAGAAATAAAAAAATCGAAAATTTCTAAACACCAAAAATTGAAATATTGAAATATTGAAAAATCTAAATATTTGAAGAATCGACAAATTGAAAAGTCCTGAAACAAAAATGTCGAAAAATTGAAAAACCGAAAAATCTAAAGATAGAAATATCTAACATTTACAAATTCGAGAAATCGAAATATCTAAAATTAAAAAATAACGAAAAATCAAAATGTCGAAAATTTTAAGAATTGAAAAATTGAATCGAGAAATCAAAACATCAAAAATTCGAAAAATTGAAAAATCGAAATATTAAAAAATTCAAAAATTGAAAAATGCTAAAACCGAAACATCGACAACTTGAGAAATCGAGAAATCGAAAGTCAAAAAATCGAACAATACATTTATAAAGAAATTGACAAAAAGAAGAAAAATCGAAAATTTCGAAATGCCAAAAAAGCAAAATTTTGAGATGAGGTCATCAATTTTTTGAGTATGTTCAGGAATTTCCATTTCTTACATTCAACTTTGAATTTCAAAATCGAGCACTGACAAATTGACAGATTGGAATTTGACGTATTTAGTGATAAATTCAATACCAACATAATTTCGGTTCAGCAATATTTATTCTTTTAACGATTGAAGAATATTATTTTTTCAAAAAAACAGCGCAATAAAATTGTATGCTCAGTCAACATGTTAATTCTTGCAGGTGCCAAAAAGCATTGGTTGCTTGACGGCCCAATGGAGAACGAGCGCGAAATCGACGGCTTCAACAACGTCCGTGGCGCCCCCAGACAGTCTTCATTGAACGCCGCCCTCGACGGCAAACACAAATCCGCGAAAAAGAAGCCCAGTTTGCTGAAAGGCATCGGATCCATGTTCCGTTTCGGCAAACACAGGAAAATGGAGTTCACCAATATCGACGTCCAGCATTACCACCACAGTAACGAATTCGACTCGAATGCCAACCAGCAAGCACCAGTCCAGGAAACGGAGCACGAAAATCAGAACGCCAACGAGAGATTGCAAGAACAGCAACAGCAAAATCAACGGATCCAGCAACTTATTCAGCAACAACAACAACGGGAACCTTTGTATCAGAGACACGGCTTCGTGCACCGACACGCCGAGCAAGTCCAGGTTATCCCGGAGAACTCGGTGGCGCCGCCTGTGAAGTACCGGAACCAGGTGAACGTGGATCAAGGACAGAGGCGGGCTGAGCGGAAAGTGCACGACCATAGGATGAGACACACGTACTATCAAACCGACGAGCGAGAACCCATTTACGACCAGCGCCCGAATCAGGTACGTGTGTCTTGATTTTGACTTTGATGTTAAGGGGGAACGCTAGACGAGAGACAAGTTTGAATTGGGCGCAATTTGTTTAATTCTTTAAATCTACCTGATGCAGATTAATGATAATTTATGACAGGCGGCCCACAACATACCTTCAGCACAGAATAATCATTTCTCGTATTCTTTTGACATATTAATTTTAATATTCGAGATAATTATTATATTATTCGAACACAATTTAGACACTGTAGAGCACTGTCGATTGTTTTACTTTTTCGATAGCTTAATCTTTCGATTTTTCGACTTCCCCACTTTTCAATATTTCTGTTCTTCGACTTTTCCATTTTTGACTTCTTGTTGATTTTTTACTTTTTTGATTTCTCGATTTTTCATTTCAGCTCTTCCATATTTCCATTTTTTAAATGTTTCGATTTCTTAATCTTTCGATTTTTCGACTTCCGGGTTTTAGATTTTCTGTTTTTCAATTGTCGTTTTTCCAATTTTTCGATTTTTAAATTTAAAATTTTTCGATTTCCCGATTTTTCATTTCAGTTCTTCGATGTTTCAGTTTTTCAAGTTTTCGAATTTTTCAAATGTTTTGATTTCTTAATCTATCGATTTTTCGACTTCCCGGTTTTAGATTTTCTGTTTTTCAATTGTCGTTTTTTCAAATTTTCGGTTTTTCAATTTTTCACTTTTTTGATTTTTCGATTGCTCAATTTTTCGATTCTTTAGATTCTCAGTTTTTGGATATTTCAGTTTTGGGATTTTTCAATATTTCGATTTTTCGACTTCCTGGTTATAGATTTTCAGTTTTCAATTGTCGTTTTAAATTTTTCGATTTTTCAATGTTTTGATTTCCCGATTTAGTTTCCCATTTTTAGTTTTTCTTTCATTTTTCAGTTTCACGTTTTCAAATTACACCAAAATTGAAAAATCGAAAACTTAATAATTGAAAAATTGAAACATTTTAAATGAAAAAAATCGGTAAACCGAAAAATTGAAAAATCTATAAATCGAGAAATTGAACAATCTAAAAATTAAACAATTTAAAAATCGAAGAATTGGAAAACCAAAAAATCTAAACCGAGAACTTGAAAAATCGAATAATCGAGAAATCAAAACATCAAAGAAAACAAAAAAATTAACGGAAAATCTAGAACTTAAAAATTGAAAAATTAAAATACCTATCGAAAAATTTTTGATTTTTCATTCTTTAGTTTTTTTAAGGTTTCGATTTTTCGACTTGACTTTTTGGATTTTTCGATTGCTCAATTTTTCGACTTTGTAGGTTCTCAGTTTTTGGATATTTCAGTTTTGGGATTTTTCAATATTCCGATTTTTCAATTTTTGGCTTCTGGAGTTTTCGATGTGTCGATCTTTTTACTTTTTCGATTGCTTAATCTTTCGATTTTTCGACTTCCCCACTTTTCAATACTTCTGTTCTTCGACTTTTCCATTTTTGACTTCTTGTTGATTTTTTACTTTTTCGATTTTTAAATTTTAAATTTTTTGATTTCTCGATTTTTCATTTCAGCTCTTCCATATTTCCATTTTTCAAATGTTTCGATTTCTTAATCTTTCGATTTTTCGACTTCCGGGTTTTAGATTTTCTGTTTTTCAATTGTCGTTTTTCCAATTTTTCGATTTTAAAATTTTTAAATTTTTCGATTTCCCGATTTTTCATTTCAGTTCTTCGATGTTTCAGTTTTTCAAGTTTTCGAATTTTTCAAATGTTTTGATTTCTTAATCTATCGATTTTTCGACTTCCCGGTTTTAGATTTTCTGTTTTTCAAATTTTCGGTTTTTCAATTTTTCAAATTTGACATTTATAAACTGTCAATTTTTAGATTTTTCAATGAATCGATGTTTTGATTTTGCCATTTCTTGACTTTCGAGGGTTTCGATATTCCTGTTCTTCAGTTCTTTAATTTTTCGAATTTTCAGATTCGTGATTTTTCAATTTTTCGATTTTTTGAAGGTTTCGATTTTTCGACTTTACTTTTTTGATTTTTCGATTGCTCAATTTTTAGATTCTTTAGATTCTCAGTTTTTGGATATTTCAGTTTTGGGATTTTTCAATATTTCGATTTTTCGACTTCCTGGTTTTAGATTTTCAGTTTTCAATTGTCGTTTTAAATTTTTCGATTTTTCAATGTTTTGATTTCCCGATTTAGTTTCCCATTTTTAGTTTTTCTTTCATTTTTCAGTTTCACGTTTTCAAATTACACCAAAATTGAAAAATCGAAAACTTAATAATTGAAAAATTGAAACATTTTAAATGAAAAAAATCGGTAAAGCGAAAAATTGAAAAATCTATAAATCAAGAAATTGAACAATCTAAAAATTAAACAATTTAAAAATCGAAGAATTGGAAAACCAAAAAATCTAAACCGAGAACGTGAAAAATCGAATAATCGAGAAATCAAAACATCAAGGAAAACAAAAAAATTAACGGAAAATCTAGAACTTAAAAATTGAAAAATTAAAATACCTATCGAAAAATTTTTGATTTTTCATTTTTTAGTTTTTTTAAGGTTTCGATTTTTCAACTTCACTTTTTGGATTTTTCGATTGCTCAATTTTTCGACTTTGTAGGTTCTCAGTTTTTGGATATTTTTATGTTTTGGGATTTTTTGCAATATTCCGATTCTTCGATTTTTCGATTTTTGGCTTCTGGAGTTTTCGACGTGTCGATTTTTTTACTTTTTCGATTGCTTAATCTTTCGATTTTTCAACTTCCCCACTTTTCAATATTTCTGTTCTTCGACTTTTCCATTTTTGACTTCTTGTTGATTTTTTACTTTTTCGATTTTTAAATTTTAGATTTTTTGATTTCTCGATTTTTCGACTTCCGGGTTTTAGATTTTCTGTTTTTCAATTGTCGTTTTTCCAATTTTTCGATTTTTAAATTTTTCGATTTCCCGATTTTTCATTTCAGTTCTTCGATGTTTCAGTTTTTCAAGTTTTCGAATTTTTCAAATGTTTTGATTTCTTAATCATCTATCGATTTTTCGACTTCCCGGTTTTAGATTTTCTGTTTTTCAATTGTCGTTTTTTCAAATTTTCGATTTTTCAATTTTTCAAATTTGACATTTATAAACTGTCAATTTTTAGATTTTTCAATGAATCGATGTTTTGATTTTCCCATTTCTTGACTTTCGAGGGTTTCGATATTCCTGTTCTTCAGTTCTTTAATTTTTCGAATTTTCAGATTCGTAATTTTTCAATTTTTCGATTTTTTGAAGGTTTCGATTTTTCGACTTTACTTTTTTGATTTTTCGATTGCTCAATTTTTCGATTCTTTAGATTCTCAGTTTTTGGATATTTCAGTTTTGGGATTTTTCAATATTTCGATTTTTCGACTTCCTGGTTTCAGATTTTCAGTTTTCAATTGTCGTTTTAAATTTTTCGATTTTTCAATGTTTTGATTTCCCGATTTAGTTTCCCATTTTTAGTTTTTCTTTCATTTTTCAGTTTCACGTTTTCAAATTACACCAAAATTGAAAAATCGAAAACTTAATAATTGAGAAATTGAAACATTTTAAATGAAAAAAATCGGTGAACCGATAAATTGAAAAATCTATAAATCGAGAAATTGAACAATCTAAAAATTAAACAATTTAAAAGTCGAAGAATTGGAAAACCAAAAAATATAAACCGAGAACTTGAAAAATCGAATAATCGAGAAATCAAAACATCAAGGAAAACAAAAAAATTAACGGAAAATCTAGAACTTAAAAATTGAAAAATTAAAATACCTATCGAAAAATTTTTGATTTTTGATTTTTTTGTTTTTTTTAAGGTTTCGATTTTTCGACTTCACTTTTTGGATTTTTCGATTGCTCAATTTTTCGACTTTGTAGGTTCTCAGTTTTTGGATATTTCAGTTTGGGGATTTTTCAATATTCCGATTCTTCGATTTTTCGATTTTTGGCTTCTGGAGTTTTCGATGTGTTGATTTTTTTACTTTTTCGATTGCTTAATCTTTCGATTTTTCGACTTCCCCACTTTTCAATATTTCTGTTCTTCGACTTTTCCATTTTTGACTTCTTGTTGATTTTTTACTTTTTCGATTGTTAAATTTTAGATTTTTTGATTTCTCGATTTTTCATTTCAGCTCTTCCATATTTCCATTTTTCAAATGTTTCGATTTTTCGACTTCCGGGTTTTAGATTTTCTGTTTTTCAATTGTCGTTTTTTCCAATTTTTCGATTTTTCAATTTTAAATTTTTCGATTTCCCGACTTTTCATTTCAGTTCTTCGATTTTTCGACTTCCCGGTTTTAGATTTTCTGTTTTTCAATTGTCGTTTTTTCAAATTTTCGATTTTTCAATTTTTCAAATTTGACATTTATAAACTGTCAATTTTTAGATTTTTCAATTAATCGATGTTTTGATTTTCCCATTTCTTGACTTTCGAGGTTTCGATATTCCTGTTCTTCAATTCTTTCATTTTTCGAATTTTCAGATTTGTGATTTTTCAATTTTTCGATTTTTTGAAGGTTTCGATTTTTCGACTTTACTTTTTGGATTTTTCGATTGCTCAATTTTTCGACTTTGTAGGTTCTCAGTTTTTGGATATTTCAGTTTGGGATTTTTCAATATTTCGATTTTTCGACTTTTAGATTTTCAGTTTTCAATTGTCGTTTTAAATTTTTCGATTTTTCAATGTTTTGATTTCCCAATTTAGTTTCCCATTTTTAGTTTTTCTTTCATTTTTCAGTTTCACGTTTTCAAATTACACCAAAATTGAAAAATCGAAAACTTAATAATTGAAAAATTGAAGCATTTTAAATGAAAAAAATCGGTAAAGCGAAAAATTGAAAAATCTATAAATCAAGAAATTGAACAATCTAAAAATTAAACAATTTAAAAATCGAAGAATTGGAAAACCAAAAAATCTAAACCGAGAACTTGAAAAATCGAATAATCGAGAAATCAAAACATCAAAGAAAACAAAAAAATTAACGGAAAATCTAGAACTTAAAAATTGAAAAATTAAAATAC